CATTTGGAATCTGAATTTTACACAAACAGCATTCATAACACAAGAGCAGAACATGCAGTTTTTATTTTCACCTTTCAGTACTCCATAGAAATTTCATGAAAATTTTCCTTTAATTAATAATGAAAGTATTATTAATTATGATATTATGATATATATGAGTAATAATGATTATGATATATTCTTGGACCATAATCTAAAACGCCCCAGGATCCTTAATGTAAATGAGATCTAAGGACAGCAATTATTAGTTGCTTTGCTTGCTTTTACTTTTTATGTCAACTCTCAATATGTAAACTTTGTGAATCTTCTAATTTTTTGGGACTTAAGAACTCCCATGATGGACATTCTTCGAACTGACTTGACTCAAGAAACACGTTATTCAACAGAGACATCGTGCACAATCACTTTGGTGACTGCACCATTCTATTTCGAAGTTGATATAAAATGTTAAAAATATTTTATATCAATTTCGAAATAGAATGTAACTACTTTTAACTTCCGTTGGTTGTCATTTGGCCAAGCAAAAGATATTTAGTTTTTCTAAAAATTTAATTTGCCTGTTACTGATTGACAAACTAAGAGATTTAAAAGAATAAACACATGTTTTTATCTGTTTTATTAATTTGCAGCTGTGGCCATGAAATTACACAGGTTGGATTTATTAAAAGCAATATATTATAAGCATTACATATACATGTATATATAATATATATATTCTTTTTTTCATATTACTTAAGCTGATAGGCGCTCCAGCGACTAGTTACTTGAAAAGTGATTTCACGTAAAAGGGTGGTTCAAAACTAATAGCCATTATGTTCTAGAAAGTGTATGGCAACACCTAACACTGTATCGAGAATTCTAAAGATATGCTGTTTTTAAAATTTCTGTGATTTATTTTTGAGTTTTATGTGGTTTAACTATGGAAAAGTGATGTTTAATAACAAAATTAAAAAGCCAAAAAAAGTTGTGTCAACAAGAGTGAATCGCAACGAGCGCATTAAAGTCCTCTGCGGGGACGTGAAAATCTGAATATTTTTAGATTTTCATTCTTTTCTCTTCCTCCCCTTAAATTTCTAAATTATATCTTCTTACTTCTTTTCTTTTGGGCAGCAGACCCTTTAGCTAACTTCTTAATGTTTGATGCTATTATAGAAAAGCATCTTTGTTTTCTGTCACTCATTTAAGATCTAAAATAACTTTTTAAAGCTTCAGCTTTGTAAAGCTTGCCCTACTGAGGCTATGAGACTGATATACAATCAGAGTCGAATATATATAATTTATTACAGAAAATAACCTTCCAATTCATTTCATAATTTAGTACTATTGGACAGCTGTTGTTTTTTGCTGCAATTAGGGAATAGCATTTCTATTTCATTAGCGAAATTTGATGCAATTATATATTTTTTATTTTGTTTTAGGTCTGGAATGAATTAAGAATATCTAAGAGCTTTTCACACCTGCTATTTAATTGCTTTGTTTTCTCATCGATCGAATCCAAACATGAAAGGACTGTCCGCGTAAAGTAAGGATACCGTAGAGAACTTTCTAAGGAATATTTAATTCCTACTGACGTTACGTATGGGTAAAAGCACGACAACCTCATTCTTCCTCTTCGCCGAAATAGAACTATCGAACTTGTGATATTTGTGGAGCCAAATCAATGAGTTTTTTGTTTTGTTTTATACTGTGTTGTGATCATCTTTAGAAAATGACACCAATGAAAGAGAAAACTCAATCTATTTTATGTATCTTTCACCATATATTATGCCGCGATATTTTTCCTGTGACAAAACACTTGGGCCGGATTAAGACTTAGAAAACTTAGATTTAGAAGATTAGACTTAGAAGACTTAGAAGTCCTAAGTGCTTAACAGATTTTGGTGCCTCCGCCTATGTTTACGCCAGTTTTATTCCATTCCTTCTCTCTTTCAGTTTTGGTTTATCTGTATTATGCATTCCATGATGAAAACCACAATCGGAAATTTGTTAGTGTCCTCTTTCTTGAATACCTAAGTACCTTTTTGTGATGCCCCCTTTCCTTGATGCCGTAAGCAAGTTAATCTGGTTAATCTGGTCCTGCGATAAATTAAATGCCCTTTGAATTAAAAGTGCACAGTTTACCCCTTTCAAGCACTGAATCTTTAAGAGCAAGGATAACAAAAGGACTTGCAACGGCAGCGACACATGTGTTAAATTATACGAGTAAGGTATCAAATTTTGTAATGTTAGGAAACGTATCAGAAGTGTAGCTTATCCTATTTTTTTTTTTTAATTTATGACATCAGCGAAAGTCTTTACGCTTACATTTACGCACCCGGTATCAGTGTACACGTAAAGCACTTTCAGTGCATCATCATTCATTTTACTGCATTTTCATTGCATTACCTTTCATTGCTGTACAAGTAAAGCATTTTTTCCCATTTACATGGAATACTTTTATCTTATTTGGATTTTTCTCAGAAGATAAGTAGCAGGAAAAATAAAAATGATTTTACTATTACTCTTCGATTTTCAAATTTAGCAATACAATTAAAGTGATTTTAGTATTTCAAATTCTTTTCTAGTCCGTACTGCAAAAATAAAACTTAATGTAAGTTACTTTAGGAATGGTTAAGTGGAGAAAACGAAATGATAAGCAGTTTGCTTTTATGGCATAAATGAATTACATGATCTTATTTTTCCTTCTACTTCTAGAAACATATTAATCTCTCTTTCAAGGCCTTCGTAAAATGTGCCAGGTATTTTTAGTTTAGTTTTTCACAAGAATGGTGATGTCCTTTAAAAATATTAAAAATTTATGTTATGGCTTACAAATAATTTTGGAATTACTGCAAAGCATGATGTTAAAGATACTTGACACTGCCTTTACCCAAAGGTCTGCAATTTATAATCAAGATTTTCGTTTCTATGTGTGAAAATTTCCCGAAGTGAAATCAATCACCAAACGAGTAATATACTAGAGTAAAAAAAAATATCAAATAATCTTTAACGTTAGAAGGAGGCATATTTTCACTGCATAGAAAAAGCTGCTGCAAATCCAAAAGGCCTAAAGTTTGCATTCTAAATTACAACAGGAGGTTAATTATCAATGCAATAAAGTAAACCATTTGAAAACAATTATGTAGTTCTCATAATATTGTTTTTATGAGAAATACATATTGTACCTATTGATGATAACATTATTCGCATTTATTCCGGTAGTATAATTACTAAAAAGATGCTGCCTTTGCCTTGTTAGGTAGAATTATTCTTCCTCTGTGTTATCTGTTTTTTCTTCTCTCTAATGGAGATTCAAAAATAAAACCTAGTAATACTAGAATAAAATTCTGTACCAATACATAAACTGCAATGGTCTTTATATTTGTTCTTTTTTTTATTAATAGTATTTAAAATTTTACTTAAGTTTCATTTTATTTTACCTTAAGATAATTATTCGTATTATTTTTGCTTAAAAATAAAAGATGTGAAGTGAAACCCCATCTTTATTTTCCCGTATACCACTTGGTAATTGCGAAGTTCTGAATTTCTTCACAGGAGTGAGTTATGAATTTTTCACCATTTACATCTTTAAAGGTTTTATTTATTTATCATTTTTTAGTAATTGAACTTTACATAGTTTTATACTTTCTTTGTGTGTTTAACCAAAAATATTGCAGCAGCAACAGGACTTAGAGAAGAAATCTTAACATCGAATAAAAATGAAATTTGCTACACCAGGTTTACCATCTCCCGAAAGACGCATTCTGCTCTTTTCCGATAAGTAGTCAGAAAAAAAGTCTCCTCTCTTTTATATACCTAGATAGTTTCATTTATACACATCCCTAACTATTCACTCTAGTAGAAATCAGTTATGTTTAGCCCTATTTTTTTAAATTGCCTAAATATAAAGCCCTTTTTTTCTTTTGCTAATGATTAAGTGAGATACTTTACGTAAATTATCCTGTTATTTTATGTTTGGGATCTTTACTGTCACACGTATTTAAGGCGAGGTTTTTAGATTGTAAGCCAGAGCATGTTCTAAGATTGCCAGATAAGGTAAGATTTGGTAGTCTTCGGCTTTGCATTTATAATTGTCGATAGCTGATATCCATGTTGGTTGAGTTTTCAGTCAACTTGTAGAGTCATTTATTTTTTGGAAGCAGGAGAAGTGAAAAATGAGCAACACCCTCGCCGGGGAATCGAACCAAGGATCTCTGGAATATGCGTCCAGACCACTACACTACGAAGGCATGCTAAGAGGGTGGGAGAAATACTTTATATAATCCTCCTTTTAAAAGGGCGATTGGGGTTTTTAGTGAACCCAATCGCCAAATCATCATCTTTTTTTTTTTTTTTTTTTAATGCAAGAAATGATAAATGAGCAGGGTATCGAACCACGGACCTCTGGAATACGCGCCTAGCGTGCTGACCAATACACTACGAAAGCATGCTAAGAAGGCGGGAGAAATACCATATAAATTTCGCGTTAAATTGATTTGTGTATATCTCGGCTACTAGTTTTTTTCATTTAATTTTTGCAGCTGAACTTACTGTTACATTTAAATTACCTTTAGTATTTCTACTTTTTGAGTTGATTTGAACTGCATTGTAGACCTGAACCCTAAACCTGAGTTGAGCCTATAAATTGCAGTGGAGTCTGAAATGAAAATTCTGTTAGTGTATTTAATTTTGTTATTAGTAGAAACAAGCAGGAAAAGTTTTTAACTTGTTATTTATTTTAGTGTTTTTTTCTAATTAATGAAAACCATGATGTGGGTTAGAATTCACCAACAGCCGTACGTGGCCAGTTTGTAACTTGAATCAAAGGGTTGAAAGAGAAGAGTTTTTCAACAACTAACAATTTATTTCTTTTTTTATACGTTTCGCAATTTTTTATCCAACAAATAATCAAGATCACTGAATTATATATTACTAACCATTTTATATTGTTCTCTGAATCATCAAGAGGAAATTCAAAGCAAAATAATTCATCTAACTCAATTATATTCCTATTCTCGAAGGTATTACAACACCAGCATCTACCCTTTGGATTTCGTGATGAATGCAGAACAGAGCACGAGGTATATCAACGTGTTTTTCGAACGCAACATGGAAGGCAAAGCGACGCAGATTTTGTCTCAAGTTCCATCACCTTCTACAAATCTTCTTCTGCTCAACGCCATTTACTTCAGGGGCACGCTGGACATGAATATGGCCCAGGTAGAAGAAAGCAGATTTGTAGGAAGAGCTGGAGAGAGACCTTTCATCATGCTTGAGGCCAGGAAGGCCCGTGTCAGGTAAGGCTAGAATTCATTTCTTATGATTTTAGTAATTATAGTTAGATAATTTTAAAAAAGGGTTAAAATTATACCCAAAACGTGTTTGCACAAGTTAATTTTCTATTTTTTCTTATAAATAAATTGAAATTTTTTATTTTGTAGAATGAAATCATGGAAAATCGTTAATGAAACAGAAAGAAACTCAATTGAAGAATATTCTAAAATATTTTTATTTATCAGAAAGACTAATAACTGAAGATTTTTTAACTTTATCTAATGAAAGATATTTATATTCAAATATAACATATAAAATCATGAAGCTTGCTTGGACGCCAGTGCAATGTACGCTTAATAATTATGCAGTATCCTATTCCTCCCATTTTTGGTTATGTAAACTAAGTAGAAAAATTCATCTTCTATAGATCTGGCAGAATAGAATCACTCAAACAACTTCAAGTTCTTTATCCCCGCTTAATGCGTTGGTGTACAAAAATTAAAACTGAGATAAATTTTTCACATGCAGCGTTGCGCAAGTATTTCAAACTCGAGCAAAGTATACCAATCAAGGCAATAGAAAAGATTATCAAGACAATAGAAAACATAAACAACACTGATCAAGAAAAGAATCTAAAAAATTCAAAATATAATTAATTTTATTCAGAGTTATTGAAAAAAAAACCATAGATTTCAAATCAGAGCCAGATGTACAGGAGATAGATTTCATTTTTCAAAACGGTTTCTGACAAGAAGACTGCCAAGGATTGTAAATGAGTAATCAAATAAAACTTTGCCAGAAACAGAAACATTTAAAGAAAAAAAATCCTTAAAGTTTCTTTGGATGGTTAGATAAAGATAAGTTACATAAGATTAGAAAATAGATAAAGATAAATTTGGCCTCTATGCGTGGGATGTTGGTTATCCGACATAAAAACTCTCATTCGTTTTATCCAGGGAAATTTCATAGAAAGCTTTAAGATCAGTCAAGATGGAAAAGAAACAAGAAACACTATCCATTGCCGGTCGTGAATACTTGCAGCATCATTTGCTGAATGCTTGCTGCTGAATCTGCTTGGATGCTTTGATACTAAATACTTATGCATTTATGTGGCCCGTTATAAGCATGATTAATAATACCTCTTGGTCGCATTATGTGAAAAGCAGTCCCACTAGAAAATGGAAGTCCCCCTACAGCACGAGTTCCCAATCCTTTTCCAGTCCCGTAATCCTAAAAATTTTCTAATATGTCCTCGCACCCTCTAAACGCAGAGTTTCTTAAACTGTGGGTCGCGATCCCCAGGGGGGTCGCACCTGCAGCAGAATGTTGCCAAAATTTTTATGAGTTTTGATATTTCTTTAACTTATAATAATTTTACAATTACCAAATATGTTTACACAATGTATCTGAAAATAGATAGAAGATATGACAATACAGACAAAGAAAAAACGCAACGAAAGCGTTTCGACGCATTCCTTTTATAATAAAAACGTTCATTTTACTTGCTTTGCACGTGACGTTGTCATTTCGTCTGTTAGTTACTTAAAATTTTCACATTGTTCTATGTCTTAAAATTAGAAATTAAAGTTAATGACCTGAAACTGCAGTAGTATATTACAGTGCAAGTAAAAAAATTGACAGTTTCATTCACGCGTGTGTCGGATTCCTGCAGTGCTTATGGGGTCTCGCAAAATTTTCATAAATATTATGGGGGTCCTAGGTCACAAGAAAAATCTCAGTAATAGAAAGGGGTGGCGATTGAAAAAAGTTTAAGAAGCCCTGCTCTAAAGCAATTTAAAAAATAAAATTAAATTAAGCTCGCAACCTCTGGAATGCTACTTCGCATCCCTGATTGGGAGGTACTGCACTTAAAGATAACGGGAGAAAGGCTGGAAATAGGGCGAGTCATTGTCTCATATATACTAAGAAACACACTGTCATCATGAATGAATTTCAGAAGAAACAAGAAGAGCATATCACTGCACGGGAAACATGCTTATGTAATGATAAAATAAAGATATGGACATAAATGCAAGACATAACACTCAAATGTCATTCATATGCATTATAAAGATAAATAAAAAAATGTGCTATTTCACAAAACAAAAGTGAATTTAAAATATGAAATGTAAATATAAACAAAGCATATGATATATAATGTGTAACAAGAACAAATAATTTTATGGAGAAGCTACGAATAGCACTTATAAATACTAATGTATTTAAAAGAGCAATTGAAATATAAACAAGAAATCAGGATATGTTAATCAAAATGGTTGAAAATAACTTATTTTGATACCCTTCGGAATGGCAAAGTAACTCAGAGATGCTATATGAAGTTTCCTTTAACATGTTCTTATTCGTGCTTGAGGAATTTCTTATTGCACTTCTGCAAATAGTCGATAATTTGATTCACACAGACGTAGTCATGTAAAAGTTTGTTTCTTATGTAGCAGTGCACGTTAGTTATAATTTCTAATATTTTATTTTCCACTCCTTGCAATTTTTTCACGTTCGGGCAGGAAGCTGCACCTCAAACGGGAGGAGTATAACATGCTACGGGACGAATTTTATAAATAAGTCAATTTGTCCATATCTGGCGCGAGAGTGAGCTGTGTTTCAATGAAATTTGAAATTTTCTTGTAATAACGTTTATTTCGACGGCAATATAGTTGATATCCAAAGAGATAAAGTGGATGTATTATACTGTTATAAATATTCTTTTGTCGTATCATTAAATTTTGCAATATTTATAGAAATTTTAATCTTGTACACCAGTTCTTGAAACCAAAGTCTTACATTTTTTCAGTCACATTCTTTGACCGTATAGATCTGACTGCTCCTGCCGTATCATCGGCATAGCATGCTAGGAATGAATTTCGATTTCTCTTTAAGGAAATCTTCCAGGTAAAATAGGTGTAGCACGAGATCGAGGCATAAGTCGTGCGGTACCAATTATCTTCCTATACGATGAATAAACTTCTAGACAGTTCACAATGAAATATCAGCTTGTAGATCCATTATACTAGATGCAACGTCTAGTATTAGAAACGCTGCACACCATTTTTGACGAAACGACCTATGAATTCGATTAATTGTAAAAAATTTTTAGAGGTATAGATTTTTATTTATTTATTTATTTATTTATTTATTTTGAAACTGTATTGCTCTTCCTGTAGTAGATAGAAATATGGTTGGATTCTTAGAAGGATGACTGTTTCAAAATTTTTATTCAATTGTAGGAAGGAGACATACCTGTCGATAGTGTTTAGTCTTAGTAGTGATCTTTAGTTGTTTCGAAAGCAAAAATGTTTTAACAAACTTCTAAAGAAATGAGAAATAGCACTATGTAATACAGGCACTAAATATGCTAACAAAGCATAGAGAATCACGCTGTTGCTCTGTATGCCCTAAATGAGTCATTTACCGACCTCTGTCCCAGAAAGCTGCCGGATTTTGGAACTTATTTTAACCAATTATAAGGTATTTTCTTCCCCCTTTTTGTATGCTTTTGTGGTGTAACGGGTAGTTCTAGAGGTTCAGGTTCAGGTTCAAGTCCAGGTGCGGCCATTGCATATTTTTCACGTTCTTCATGCTTTAAAAATAATCCTAAAACATTTAAGGTGCAATTTATATAAAAAAAGATCTGAAAGGTTTCAGTTTTTAAATTACGTCTAAAAGGCGTTTTTTTAACTTTTTGCGTGCTACCTTTATTTATCAAATATCATGTTCTTTGCGCTTAAACCATAAAATTCAGTTCGATAACAATGTCGCGAAATAATTTTAGATGAGCATATCTTTAGAATTTTTGATACACAGTTCCGCGCGCTGGAGATAAAAAGGTTTCCCCCCCCCGAAGAGTGTTGCCAATGCTCGCTTTTAAATCGTTGAGTTTGTTAATCAAAAATCAGTTAAAGTTTTACAAAATATGAAATAAATAATAAAACCAATTTCAAATTTGGTTTTCAACATGCCCATATTCGTAGGAAGATTACGTCATTCAAAATTCGGTGGCTCTAGGTACCGCCGTTTTATCATTATAAGAGAAATATACGTGCATTTATGCAGATTTTTCATTATTTAATTTCTTCAAATATAATGCAGGACTCTAACATTTGGTGGCAACAGTTTGAAAATGAAACGGACATTTATAGTGATTCAACGCAAAATCGCAAAACGAAAACACCTTCTTTTTTTATCCAAAGGGGCTAATCCTTCAGGGACAAAGCCCCTTTGGACTAATAAAAAAAGAAGAAAGAAAATCTGAAATGTTTTAGATTTTAAATTACGTTCGATAGGGCGTTTTTTTAACATTTTTTGTGTTACATTTATTTATTAAATATCACATTCTTCTCGCACTTAAACCATAAAATTCAGTTCAACAGCAATATCGAAAAATAGTTTTAAAATGAGCATATTCTTTAGAATTTCCGATACAGAGACTCACGCACTGGAGATAAAAATGTTTTTTCTGTACAACGTTGCCATTGTTCGCTTTGAAATCCTTGAGTTTGTTAACCAAAAATTTGTTAAAGTTTTACAAAATAGAAAATTGATAATGAAACAAATTCCAAATTTCAAATTTGGTCTTCCACATGCCCATATTCGTAGGAGGATTACGCCATTCAAAATTCGATGGCTCTATGTACGGTTGTTTTATCACAATGCGAGAAAAAAATATACATTTATGCAGATTCTGCATTTTTTAATTTCTTCAAATATAATACGGCGGATAATACTTTGTGGCAACAGTTTGAAAAGTGATTCGCCGTTTGTAGTGAATCGACGCAAAATCGCAAAACGAAAACAATACTTCTTCAGGGGAAAAAAAAAAAAAAAAAAAAAAAAAAAAAAAACCTAATGACTTTACACAATTCAAGTGTAAGAATAATGTAATGCTAAAAGTTCATGACCATGTTTGTCTTCCGAATGCGTCCCAATTGTATCCCAAATGGGCATTGCTGGACAGGTTCCGCAATATTGTGTTAGAAATGCCGTGCGTACCCGGAGCCTTCCTGAATTT